TTTCATTCATATGATTTTGTTAATTAAACAACCAGTGGAGACTCGATATTTGTGAGCTTATGTTGCTCTGTGCATAGGCTCAAAACATTAGTTTCTAAATAATGGAAAAGTTTAGGCGCGTAAGGACAAGGTTCTTTGTATGGTTAAGTTTTGTCATTATCTGTAGATTTTGGCATTGTTCACTGATGACTTGTGCACTATTAAGCAAAAGACAAAATGCTCTTATCTGGCTGCACTAGCTAGTGAAATATTTTATTGTTCTGAAAGCAATACTGTTCCTGCAATTATAAATTACAAGAGAGCTTTCTGACTTCTGCCTTTTTGTCCTTTTTAATTCTTCAGAGTCAATCAAAGACGTTATAGAATCCAATAGTCAATTGATAAATAATAACATTACTTGGCATCCAGCACTGAAATATTTCAACTATTGCAGTTCTTCCTTTTGCATATTTGTTATTTCTCTTTTAACAGTAATAAAATTGTCATGCTTAACCGCATTTTTTAGATAACCAAAATAAGCGACAATGAGGTGCTAGAATAATCTTTCTATTGTTAATGTTTGTATTGGCAATGTAGAAACTTGCATCTTGTCGACCATTATTTTTAGAATCTTCGTATATTATATGTACTTGTGAAAAACAGAGCTCTGTAAACATGCACTACCTGCATTGATGGAAAATTGAGCATTGGAGACTATGCTTGGAAAGGATGCAATTCAAAAGAATTGTATAGAAAGTACGACTGTCTTGGAGTATCGAATTACAGGTGTTAAAGTTCTTCCTCCTAGAAGCTAGCCTTTAGAGGTGTAAGTAATAAAGAACTTGATGAAAACAGAGACATAGATATACCTGATATGGGTTGGTGATATTTGAAATTTTCATCTAAACGTTGAGATGACATTCATGGAGCATAGTTTTTTTTATCAATATTTGGGGAATGAGTGTGCAACTTAATTGCTTAATGGATTGCTCCAAATTCCCTTGCTCTCATTGGATTGGAGGAACCCACTCTGGAATCATTGGAACAGGAGAATATATAAATACATATATATACATATATAATATGTTTATACATTCATGAAGTACGGCTTTTGGAGTTGTAGATTAGAGAATATGGAAGATACCAACAACAGGAAATTTGATTTTAGGATGGCTTTTTTTGGCTAAAGAAGATAGTGTTTGTAGTAATTCTAAGTTCATACATGATCCTACTAGCCTAACATTTATATTTGGGAGAAAGCCTCCAGTTTGAACCAATCTACGAAAACTGGCATATCTTATTTGCCCGTATGATTATGTATATTACCACATATACTTACACTTACCAATGAATTATATTAGAGGATAGCAAAGAAAGAAAAAACAAATGAACAGTTGAAAACTTGTACGGAGGATAGATTGAAGAAGAGAAGTGAAAAAAGCAACCTAGTAGAGGCCCTTTGGTTGATGTTGATTCAGTCCATACGAATTCTCTCTGAACTTACAAAAAAAGAAAATAAAGCCAAAAAGGGTGGTCGGCACAGAACTATTTTTAAAAGATCAAGAGTTTAAGATTAGAATTCACTATACATATATATATATATATACACACACACATATACATATACATATACATATAAAAAAACACTCCATGGATTAACATGGACAAGTGGGGTTAATTCTTTTTTCTATTTACGTGAATGAAAAGAGAGAGGCGGCGAAAAGCAACAGCCCGGCACTATTTGGCCTAAAGCCGGCATTAATTTTCTTCCTTAACTTTCTTGGTCACAAGTCATTGCAATAAGAAAAGTAGGTTAAAGTTTGGATCAAGACTCACGAACAGTAAAGGATTTATTAAATCTTGGATGAAGATTAAGTATAAAATTAACACTTAAACAACAAGAGAACATCAATAAAACTTTAATGAGTAACTTTTTTTTGTTTACAGGAGTAGTTTGAAATGGTGTATTTTTCATCCTTAAAAGAAAAAGTTACACACCATAATAATTCATACTTTTCTAGGGTGTTCTGAAAAAGAATTGCTTCTGCTACTCTCTGGGTAGCTGCAAATAATATAGATTATTCCAATGATTATGGCAGGAACTCACTAACCCTTTATACAGTAATTACAGTTATATAGATTAAGAAATTTTTCTCTGTAAATTTTTGGTTCAGTACGATGAGTTACCCAAATCATAAATTAATATAACTTTTATTTACAAAGCTAATCCCAGGAACATTATGATTATTTACCTTAAAAAAAGAAAAGAAAAGCTGTAAGGATAGACTTTTGAGTGCATGTAAAAGTTATCTCGTTTGAATAAAATACGAGAAAATGGAAAAGAAAGTAGAAAGTAATGGGCAGGAAATGTATATATATATATATAGACACACACACCCATATATGAGAGTCCAAGCTTGAACTCATCAGAAAGACTTAAGCAGTTACATATGTAGAGAGAAAGAACATTAGACATACATGCATATATATATATATATATATATAGGAGATCTAGAGAGAGGTGAAATCAAGTGAGAGAAGAAGATGGGTAGGTTTAGATTCTGGAGTTGCATATTGATAATCATAGTTTTGGTGTCACGTATTTTTTGTGCAGAAAGTATACGTATTGATGTGATGAAGAGGAGTGAGCATGGAGTGAGGATGATGGAGGAAGCAAAGCAAGTTCTGAGCGCCAGCTTACAGAGACAAATCGGAAGCCATTTTGATCAGTCCATACGCGTTAGTCCCGGAGGACCTGATCCTCACCACCATTAATAAACCATCTTTTGTTTTTTTTTTATTTTCGTTTCCAATTTCTCTATTCCATGAAACTACATTGTTTTGGGTTCATCTCTAATTTCAAACTTCATTCCATATGTATGTATATTATATTATATACGTACGTACATATATATAAATATATATATATATATATATATATAATATTTTCACAGAATCTACATGGATCATCTTCACTTTTAGTAAGCCAATTATCCCGAAATGGAAAAAAGAAGAAAACTTAATTTTAAGCAAGTTGACCCATTAAGCTCCATTAAGCAATTCCTGATATCTCTCTTTAATTAGGTAGTTTATTGGGAAAAGCACTAGCTTACATCATGTACGTTTTATCTTTTGAGTTATAATATATATACAAACTATAATATAATATATATATATATATATATAATCTTCGAACACGTAAAAATACATTTCAACTCAAATTGTAACTCTTGTCGTGTAAATAGAATATCAACAATTCAATCAAAATAGTTCTTGATATATATATTATTTATACTATGTTTATTATCGAATCGGGAATTTAAGTTCAGATCTCGATCCGAAATATAATAAACTTAGGTAGTATATTACTTCCTTGATAAACCCATTTTCAACATTATTAATTTTTTTGCTTGTGTTTTTGTGATGACTACCTTGATGAATTTGCCTCTTGGCATTCCCAATTAACACTCCTTAGTCTTATATATATATATATATATATATATATATATATATATGTTTTTTGTGATGACTACTTTAATCCCACTTGATTCAGTGATGTAATTTGAGGGACCAATTAATTCATCTAAAGTCTAATACTAACAGTAAAAGTACCTTAAATTAAATAGGAAATTACATGTGTTATGTGTATATATATAGATATATTATATGATATGTATTTAGTAATAGCAAATATGTAGTACCCCACTACTTTTTTCAATGGGTCACTACCTTATTGATGGCTATATATATTTTATATATAGAAGTGGAGTACATGGTCTCTATCTCACTTTCTTAAATTTTTTTATAACAAAAATATTAATTCAAAATTTAACATGTTGGGGTTAATTTAAATAAAAGAATTCATTTATCACGAAATATTTTTTTACGTAAAAACGTAAAAAAATTCGTTGAAACTTATCTCAACTTAATCGCTGTAATTCTATTAGTGTGTAAGAATTAAATCTTTAATTTTATGAAATCAAATATTATAAATCGATCTGTATCTTATTTTACTAATTTATTTAAATTTATGTCTTATTTATATTATATTTTCATCTATATTCTATAAAATTTGAATTTGAGCATAATTCAGTGTCATAGTAAATTCGAAGTTCTAAAAGACTTCATTTGTTATTTTGTTAATACGATACCCTTTTCATTTGAGTTTTTAATAAACTTTTCTCGTGACTAAACTGATACAATTTATTAATTATTTAAAGATAAATCTAAAAAAGGTAACAAAGAAGCCTCTGCGAAAAAAGCTTCTTCAATCCAAATAATAAAAGTTTCGAACTCTACTAATTTGTTTTGCTAAACAATGTGTAAATGGCATTGAAACCTCCTTCCAATTTCTTCACATTTGTAACGGCCCCGAAAATTTAAATGAAATATATGTATTAAAAATGTCAAATGCGGAAGTATAATAAAAATTTTGATTAATATCCCTTACACAATAACTAAAATGTACTCAAAACATGAAAGACAAACTAACTAAAAGAGATACTCGAGATAGAACTATAATATAGCTATGGAGTCTTTAGCGTCCCCTTCGCCGTCTTCCTGCGGAACGGGCTC